ACAATCCAGAAGCATGATTTAATGTTGGCGGTATGTGGACGGTATATGTACATCAATGCCCAGCTGTAAACTCGTATCGTAAATAATATACCGTTTGATATTAAGGTTAAGGTGTCCCTTCGCTAAGATATTGAATACGTAAACATCGTTTGAGCAACATTCCCATGTACCGGAGTGAAGTCTAAGCCTACGGCGTTGTTTTTAATGGTAAAAATGATATTAGTTTCTCAAAGGTGAAAATATTAGTTTTATTATCTTTGGACGTGAAATTGCATTTCTTGAGTTATGTAAGAATGCAGAAAATAATCCAATACTTTTTAGTAGACAAATAATTTTTCAATTTTTGCACCCAGCCTCTCCCAAACCTCTCCTCTGTTCATCATAAATCCAGGAAAGTTAAATCACATTGCAAATAGTCTAGTTGTACTTTCCCGATCCTTATTTTCACATGGAAAACGTTACTTGGCTTTCTGGAGAGTAAAAGCCCTTTCTAATATTTTTGTGACTAACAAGGAAAACCAAAAGCTAGCTGTCAAGGAATATTGAATAATGGCTTCAAATGTTTTTGAGGAAGTGTGAATTATTCGAAGTACATGTCTATAATACTGAATATGTTTTTATTAAAAATTGGTTTCCAACGTCAATTGCATTGTTTTTATTTTAATTTTATATTCTGTAAGTACAAACAATTATACATTTAACAACTAAACACGTTTCATTCACAACTCTCCTTCTTAAGGGTGGGGATGGGGAAGAGGTGGGGATTAACATGCGAGATTTCTCGTACGGGTACGCTAGTATCCAATAACTCTATGAAACATACGGAATGGCTATTAGAAAACAGTAGACGCTTTAGATTTTGAATACTGCAAAAAGAAAGTTTTTTTTTTAAATTATCGTTGATTTAATTTCTTTTGGTAGTTAGCAAATACAACAGTTGCTGTTGTATTGCGAACTTCCAACACATGTTGTTATCTACTTGCGATAGGTATGCAGCCCCGTAGTACATAACTTTCTAACGGGTTGCCTATACACCCAAATTCATATATGGATTGGCAAATTAATTGGAATGCATCAAAATTTGATGCACTTGTTATCTTAGCCGACATTTTAGCAGTTCCAAGATGCTTTTAGAAGGACAAATGTAATAGTTGGTGGAAATCCAACTTCTGGAAAGAGTCTAGAATATTTGCCCACTACAAATTATATATTCGGCGAAATGTGAAAAGAAAGTTTTAATGTATTTCCACAAATATATGTTGTGTTTCGAATATTTCTGTCTACTTTACAGCTGGTGTCGGGGTAGAGCGATGTTGCCACTTAGCCACTTACTCGGGTGGCAGACACATGGTCGTGTGATCCTTCTTGCAACATAACAAAAGAAAAAAACACACAACAGTAAATGACACAGAACCGCACCCACACTGCATAATCAACGAAGTTATGGCACTCTTCAGTTTACATTTAATTCACGTTGTAAGATTTCGTTCTTTTTTAATAAGAATCGGCTCATTCATTGCAAATTGTCTCTCCAAATTACTCACTGAAAAACCTCAACTTTGCTATGTTTTCGAATTTCTAAAAGATGTAAACTTATTTAATGTGTTAAGAATTGTAAAGAAAAGTATAAAGGGTCGCTAATGACCTTGCAATTCATACGACCAAAGAAACCTTATTAAAAGAAAGAATCAGCAACTCTGCAGTGACGTCAGCATAATTTGAAGCTTCTTGATTGGATAACAGATTCCCCTCTTACCCAGTCAGCAGATAGCTGTCAAGTAGACTAATAATATTCAAACAATTGTGTTTGTTGAGTTCCTGGATATGGGAGGTCACCAAGCGATTTCACACTTAAAGCTAATTTTATTTGAACATTTTCTATTTTAGACTGTGATCTTTCAGACATGGTGTCTGAAAAATTCTACATTATTATGTAGTTGAAAACTCGAATAGTTACAGAAATTTTAACATTCATGATCAATGGTTTCACTCATGGTGAGTAATATAAAATATTTATCATCGCAAATAGGAAATGAAAGTTCCCTTCAGGTGTTTTTTTATTAATTAATTAGACAGCGACTCCACATCAGTATTTAAATATTTTATATTTCACTTTTTCACCCACAGAAAAATGAAACCAATGTGCAAAATTTTCAAAATATTTCAATTGTTAATTATTTCAAATGTTTACAGTTCCCAGTTAGGATTAAATGGATAATAAATATCACTATTTTCCACTTAAATTATTATGTTGAATTCACCCCTTCTCAGAATGCATTGGTGCACTGAGAAAGGGAATGGTTGCCGCACATTCAAATACGGTTCACCCAAGCAGAACAATAGTAAAATTTGGCCCAGCTGTTTTTATGGCACCCTGTGTGGACCTCGGTGGGGCCCTGAACCATCGCTGATGAATATCCTGGTCTGCCATGGTATTCTGATACACAAACGTTTGAGTTTGTGGTTGATTCTCTTAAAACTTAGGTGAGTGGTTCTACAACCCACATTTTTTTTGCTTCAGTTACTACAAAAAATGTTTATACCAACAGTGGAATTATTAACATCAGCCCACTTGTTTGCTTGGAGAGATTTGCCTTATTTTATAACCGTACCTTTGAATTGTAAATTTGAATCTTGAAATTGTTACATTAAATTTTAAAAAAACACTATTAAAAATGTGAAAAGCACTTCTATTATTTTCTTTAAACCTGACACTACAAGCAGTAGCTGAATAGAATTAGATACATTAAGTTTAAATCTGAAATAATTTCATATTATTTTGCAACATTTAATAGCAAGTACTGAAATCTCACATTCCCTACCCGACAAAAAACAAAATCAATTTTCAAAATCAATTAAGCAAAAATCAATTTTAAAAAAAGATTCTTAATTCATTACTTTGCATTATTTGGTCCCTTGTTTCACTTAAGTAATTTGCATCTTGTGGCACACAACCATAAATATAAGTTTGGTTTTTACATTTCATGAAACTAATTTATTATTTTTAACCTTTACTTATTGATAGCTGTGTACTGCAAGTTGCAAATGACGCCAGTTAAATAAGGGTCTGAATAAATTAATACAATACAACTCAATCACATTAATGTGATAAATGTTTTGCAGGCATCAAAACCACAAAGAGGAAAATGAGCAAATGTGATAGCATTTGAAATACACAATTTTGGGAAATGGATATGAGAATAACACTTGATGGATATATTTACAAATGCTTTCTTGTATTTGAATTAATTATTTTCATTATATTTTTATACATTTTCATAGTGAACATTTTCAGCAACAAGTGTGCTCATAAGTGCCCTATACCACAAAAAAACTAAACGTTACAATAAAGCCAAATTTAATTAGGTTATCTCAGTTCTACAAGATCCTGAAAAGTAAGATACCAGTTTTGCATCTGAGAATGCTATAAATTTGCTTACATAGTAAAAATCAGACGTGTGTGCACATGAACATTTTGGAGGGAAGGCAAGTATTGAAATATAATCGATTCCTTGTTAATCAATTAATGTTTTTATTCGATTAGTTTGCATTGATTAATTGTCCTAAAATAATCGATTAATTTTTTTATAATTATCAGGAAATGCAAAACAAACCTTTAATTAATTATTTTTTAGTGTCACTGAGAAGAGGGATATGGGAAGGAGCAGGAAGAGTACAAGAAAGATTGCATGCAGTCTGCATCCCGTGTGTTAAGGGACTGCTCTACCATTTACGTCGTATTGATTGGAGAAATCATGGAAAACTTCCATTCAGAGCAGCCAGCCACTGGAATTCTGTTCCTGAGAATGACTGAATTCAATCTATCTAGTTAGTGTTGAAAAAATACCACTGTTAAGACTGGAATCCTAGGATCTCATAATCAAAGTCGCTGCAGCGACTGCAGCAATGCCGTGAGCTACACTAAGCTAGTTTTACTTAGTACTTTCTTGCCCTTGTGAACGTACGTGAAGAAATATTGTAATTGGGTGCCAGAAAATCCATTTGGATCTATTATTAGTAGTATTAGCATTATCACAGATCATTAGTGTGGATCTATCATTAGTAGTATCCATTTGGATCTATCATTAAACCATTTTTTTATATTTACAATTTATGTAGGAGTTCAGGGAATGTACTATTATTACAGGAATTGAAGAATGTGGGTTTATTTCTTGACCAATATTTGGAGTGAAGGGCTCCTTTCTGGGAACCTGGTGAAGATATCTTTTGTCAATATCCAATACTTTTTTATAGTTAAGGTGTCTTTCTAAAAGAAGTTGTGGAAATTATTGGATGAGCCCAGCAGATTTCTGATTTAGGGTAACTGAAAGTATATTGATTTGAGGGATTAAATGTTTAACAGTGGATAATTTAGACCTAATCATTGGTCTTGTGGTTAATGTTAGAACTCCAGCTTTCACTAAGAGTCTATTACAGAGGTTAGATATAAGGTATAGATGTTTTTCTCTGCTTATGATTGAGTTTAACGGTTAGAGTAAAGAAAGATGGGGAGGGAATTGGGTAGTAAAGAAGAGTTGAATAAAATGAATGAAACATACAATATATGAACAAATGATCTTTGAGCCAGGTAAGATAAGTTTTTTCTACTGAGTGTTGTAAATGTGTAATTTTAATATTTCATGTGCCCGTGCTAACAAGTCTCTTTGTAACGTTTGTCATTTTAATTTGACATGTTCACTTACTGATTGAAGTAGTGAAGGAAATATTAGGGCCATGTGTAAGGTAGCCATAAATATGTTTGGTTTTTACATTTCATGAAACTAATTTATTATTTTTAACCTTTACTTATTGATAGCTGTGAACTGCCATGTGTAAGGTGTGTGCGTGGAGAAGAACTTCATTTTGATAATTGAATTTTCTTGGGAAATCATGATTGGAGCTGGAGAGCTGTCATTTCTTTAAATGGCTTAGCCAATTTTCAAATTGTAAATGAGATATTGGTGAAATAACAGTCTTTTGAAGTATTGAAAATGGCACAAATCTAATTGAAGAATGATTTTCAGCAAATTAAGGTTGATTTCTTTTCATTCTAGACTAAGTTATAAGCAAAATTGTAAATAATTTGATGCATCATGTCCATAACTACACTGCTGAAAGTTCTGAAATGGACACTGAAAATTAATTCTATCAATATTTGAAAAACAGTATAAGGTTTTTTTTATTTATCTACATCAAAAGAGTTAAAAACTGTGTGTGACATGCTATGGAGACAGGTTAAATCGAAGTTACATTTATGTCCAGAAGGAAAACAAGGGGCCATCTCAGCATTTGCTCAAGGATCAGCTGCGAGAAGTGGCCCAAGGTCTCGCATGGTCTCAGCCCCTCAGCAACGCAGAGTTGAGCTCCTATGTGACAAGTTCCATTAACGGAAAGTCTCATCAGAGGCCGGGAAGTCGCTCTGCAGGCAACTTGAGTAACATTCCGGACACTTATCACAGATTGCAGCCCGCCTCACCCGTCGCATTTAAACATAATACGGTCTTAAAGGGACTTTTATTATGAACATATAAGTGTGAAAAACATATAAATGTAAAACGCATATCTCAAATAATTTAGCATGGGAATTATAGGAATTTATCTGGGATGTCAAACAAAAACATACAAACATGAAAAACTTATAAGTGTGAAACGTGTAAACAAAGTTTCACTCAAAATTTAAGAGTGATACTAGTCATTTTAAAATGGAAAATGGGCAGATTGGATGGAATATTCTATTATGTTGTATATTTGCAAGGAGGCATTTTCAATAACTTTGTCAATTTATATAACCATGTCATGGTTTTAATCTTCTTACTGTTAATTAATGCCACTAACCTTGTTTCATGTCTAAAATGAGACTTGAATGAAAGGGAATGAATCAAAACAAATAATGACTCCATTCCAATCACTTTATCAGCTATTGATTGACAATGAAAATATAAATAGATTGAATGAAAAAATACACCAAAATAACTTGAATGAGAACTACTATATTTGTAAGATCATTAATATCAACAAAATACAGTGTACAATACAAAACAAAACTCAGCATGTTATAAAGCAATATCAATCATTAAATGCCAAAGGTATAGGAAAGTCTATTGTTTTTACTTATGGAAGGTACATTAAAAATAATTTCACAAATTATAAATGTACTACATAAGATTTATCGATTATAAAACTTTATCACAAAAAATTGATTCACAGGAAAAGAATAACTGACAAAATGAATTGATTATTCCTAAACAAGTAACAGTTTGTTTTCATTACGGCACCAACTTCACAGTCAAAAGAACAATGTTAAGTACATAAGTACATACCAGAGTTCCATTTCGTTTTATGAAAACTATACTCTTAAAAATCTTACAACAGTTTGGTCTCAATTAAAATCACACTATATTAAAAGAAATAGATATTTTCAACAAGCTCTTTAAGCTTCCTGATAATTTTTCCTACATGACAACATGGAAGAAATGTATAGGCATTAGTCTGTGCTTATGTGTAATCAATAGTGCTCAAATTTAGAAAAATAAATAAATATGTAAATTCAATAAATAAAGTACATCATTTCTTGATATGGCATGATGAAGGCTTTGTAACCATGCATAATCAAACAATATAAGACCTTCAATATCTATTAGTAATTATTAGTTTTAATATTTTTAAAATTGCAACAACATCCTCATTTCATAAAATTGTAAATACCACAACATTCTTTATTTTTGCCACTGAAGACAGTAATGCCCCTAGTACACTTGGCAGCCATAACAAGCATATCAGCTCTTCACAGATATAGCTACCTACATAAAATTCCCAAAAACTTAACATACTTCCACTGCAATAATATGGAGATAGGCATACATACTCTTCATTTAAAAAATAAAAAAAAATTAAAATCACAGTTGTCAACAATATTCTAAAATTCAGTGTAAATACCAGTTTTGTTCTACAAAAATAGTGCACAACATAATGCAGTACTTGAAACATGGTTAATGCAAAAATATGGAAGAATCATGTAGAGAAATTAGGGAAGAAACTACAAGAATGTGAATCCCATTTAGCACCTTCAAATTGTCAAGGGAAATTACATTGCCTATTTCTGCCAGGAATCCCCTGATTTCTCTGAATAGATTCTACTCCAGAGAACATTAGTACAGAACTTTAAGAAAGAGTGAAGAAGGTTGAAAATGCAATTTATCTACTTCCTTTTAAACTATATTCTAAGTCATGTGAAATTATTAGATTTATAGACGTTTTCATATCATTATCTAAAATGGAAATGCATTTGTGCACAATTACATAAAGTGATATTCTTCATACATTGTTTATGAAGTCAAGATTCAATGCACTTCAGACCAACTTTATCATTATTTATAGCTGCCAATTATCAACGAGAAAGTATTTGTACAGCAGGGATTGAATAATGTTATATAAGACAATTTGTTCAGTGCATAATTTGAACTTTTAGAACAAAGTTGGCAACTAAACTTATCGTATTAATTTTGGCATTAAATTCAACATTAATTTGAAACAATGATTTCTTGTAAATTTTATATCAGTCAGAAAGCCTAATTTTTATGGCTAAATCTTGAATATAAAGAAAAATGTTTCACCCCTGCTGTACATTTTCTCCCTTTACATTTGTTGGTCCCTCTCCATCGCCCATAAAGTAAAATTTTTAAGTGTACTTAGGAGGTTTAATACCTTAAAGGGCATGTATTACTAAACTGTTATGTGATGTTCTTTAAATAAATAGCCATGGATTTTGTGCAATACTAAATGTAACATATAAAAAATAAGTAATTATAAAATTTATAGACGGAATGGTAGTAAAAAAATTGACAGCAATAATGTTACCTCGACACAGACTCTTCTCATGTAGCTTTCAGTCTTTGCACTCCACCCAGTCTCAAAGTGCAAAATAGAAACAGAATTGTGCATGACAGGTGAGGACAAGATCCAACAATATAACAGGACAAGATGTCTTATTCATGATATCACAAACCATAACACTTCAAGTTAAAACAACCATTGAGTATCATACTATTATCTTTTTTTGTAATCTGATGTCTACATATGAGAAATTAGTAATTAGAAGTTTAGATTCAAAACTATTAGAAACTATTACTTATAAAGTTTCAAATAATAACTCAAGTTATGGCAGACATACACAAAATTAGAAGGATCCAATGATTATCTTAGATGTAATGAGAAATACCAACCAATCTTCTAACAGTGGCACATCCAGTTACTATAAACAACAGAAGATAATGGGTACTATTGCAGACACCAGCAAAACAGATAATGGTATGGCTCTCATGGCAATCATACAATCACCAAATTACAAGAATTCTTACTACATCTGTACAGGTTATTTCCTACCATACTGCATACTGAAAGAGAAAAATTAAGCATAAGTAGTTTCAGGAATACACAGGAGTTTGTTTTGGTGGGAGTGGTTCATTATACTGCACGTATTGTAAATGGTAATATGTCAGCCAAAACCACACACCTCCATTACTGTGTCCCTAGCTAGCTCCATACAACTACAGAATATCTATGAAGTGTGGGTGTCCGAGGCAATCATCATGCATGATCAGTCAAGTTTCTTGGCTGGCATGCCATTGGCTACAGCATTTGCCGGTGGCAGGCGGCGAGGTGGGATCAAAACCGGCAGAACTGTCATTGCTAACACAGCCAAGACATGCAGCCACAGGTACATGTTCCTACGAAAAACACACAAAAACATTAATCATGGAAAAAGTGTGTCTACTAAATTCCTTAATAGTCGTGATAACTTCAATATTAACTTATTCATAAAATTTTGACAAAACTCTCAGTTTTTATATATAAATGCTTAACAAAAAATTAATGTTTGGGGATTTAACAAGCACAACTTCTAAACATGTAACTGGGAATCCCAAAGCCATAAAAATACTGTTAAAGAAGTTTTAGGTTGTTCAAAATAATAACCTCCATTGGAAAGCCCTTAAAGAGGGGAGTCATTTTTCTCCATCTTTACATGAAGATGATGAAAATAATTTTTTCATATTTCTCATTTAAATAATCATTCTTAATACATATAACCCTTTATTATGCAACACTATTTGGAACACTTCAAGCAGAAAAAATTGATAGTTCCGAAGACTCGGGATAAGTGCTTTCTTAGTATACAATTTTGTGAAGGTCGAAGGTCAAATCTCAAAACATATTTCACATTTTTTAAGGGAAAAGAAAGATTTAGAAAATTTTCATCACATCTGAAGTTGATATCAAATACCAAGAAATGAAAAGAAGTCCATTAGATTATAAGAAAAAGATTCATTTAAATAACAGGTGAACTAAGTTTTAATTACAAAACATTTTAAGAATTCTATAGAAAAAATATTAATCATAATAACTATAATACTTTTAAAAATTGGGGCAAGAGTACATTTTTAAAGTCCACCTAAAACATCTTGTTTCAATACAACTTTATAGAAGTTCTACAAAGCATATATAATAGTAGTATGAATTTAATCAAAAATACTACTTACAAATAGAGATTGACACTTGGCCAAAACTCAAGTATAACAAAGCTGAAAGTAATGTAACCCATGACGACACGAGTAGTCAACATGGTCAAAATGTCATACACAGCCTTATGGGATTTAGAGCCCATGAAATATGGGCGAATACTTCGACGAACCTGAAAAAATAGAAAAATTCAAGAAACATATTTATATAAGCAAAGTATTACACATATCATGATTGATGGAAATACTAATACTAATACTAATACTAATACTAATAATAATAATAATAATAATAATAATAATAATAATAATAATAATAATAATAATGTGGGAGTAGCTGGTCTCCTATCGGACGCGTCCCTAGGTGGCGGATCGGGGAATACTCTTACCGGCCACGCCGGAGGGTAGGTGGGGAATAAAATACCACCCGTGGACCAAATCTAGACACTGGCGGCAGCGTTAAAACGCTAGGGAAGGTGACTCCAAAAAGAAACCCACGATGGAAGGTCCCTCAGGATTAACCGTTACGGTGCAGGGGATCGGAGTCCCAGTACCGGCATCCGGGGGTGGGCAAGCAGGCCCCCCTGCGGTCGTCAACCAGCGACTGCAAACTCAGATGTGGACCGCTTGGCGTTTCTCAAATACTACACTATGACAAGCGAAAGCCTAAAGCGTGCAGGTATTAACCTCTTTTCTGGGACGTCGAAACTGTAGAGATCGCTTCCAAGTACCCCAACCACTCCAGGGATAAGCACGACTGCGGAACGAGATAGCCGGCAAATCCACGGCAAGCAGCCGTAAATTCGCCGCAAAGTGGACCAGGAAGCCGGCGGGGACCATGGAGGGGTAGAAGTCGGATAATCTTGCAGCAGGGAGTACGGAAACAACAGCTTTTCATAATAGAAAAATGGGGAACTATGCAACAACTGGTGGAATCCCAAGGAAAGCTCCTAGATGAACTGAATCAAAGCCTGAGGGCGATTGAGAAGCATATGCTGAAAAACAACCCGATGAGTGTGAAGGAAGCTCTGTCTAGAGCTATAGAAAATATTCATACCTTGAAGTATAGGGTATAAGAGGTAGCAGATGAAAAGAGAGAATTTTCAGGGATCCTGAACTCTCTATTGAGTAGAGAAAAGGAAACAAATGTAAGGGACGATAAGAAAGACGTACGAAGTAAAAAGAGGGTGGCACCAAGTCCACCAGAAGAACTTAATAGAAGAAATAAGAAAGATAAACAGAAGGAGATAACTACGGTGGAGGTTACACCATGGGAAAAGCAAGCAAATCAGGACGAGGTGATAGAACAATCTGAAAAGATAGAAGACCAAACGGGAGAACTGGAAGCTTCAACAAAGCAGGACAGAGAAAAATATACAAAAGAAGCCAGGAGCTAAGACAACAGTCAGAAAAGTAAACCCAGCTATCAAAGTGGCAGCTAAACAAGGGGAAACCTATGCTGACATTATAAAGAAGATAAAAGAGACCGTGAACCCTAGTGATCACGGCACAAAAATATTGGCTATATGGGGAACAAAAAAGGAAGAGCTACTTATCGTTCTTGAAAAAACTGGAAATATCACCTCATTGAATGAGGCTTTGGAGAAAGCGGTAGGGAAGCAAGCTCATGTGAATGCTCTAGAACGAAAGCGCCTAATAGAAATTAGAGATGTTGATGAAACGGTCATCGCTGATGTGGTGTTGGAGGTGGTGAGCAAAATTATAAACGTGGCTACAGACCAGACGCTCACCCCCTGTATGATGCGCAGAGGATACGGAGGAATACAATCAGCCACATGATGGGAGATGAGATAGCTCAAAAGCTGATAATGGCAGGACATATTAAGATCGGATGGGTTAACTACAGAATCAGGGAAAAACTCCAGGTAACAAGATGTTATAGATGTCTAGACTTTGGACATATTTCAACAGACTGCAGAGGTCCTGATCGTAGCAAAGTATGTTACAGATGTGGTAGAACCGGACATGTTGTTAAGAACTGTACCAACAGAGAACAGTGTGTCTTATGTAAAGAAAAAAACGAAGAGGCTCAACATCTGTTAGGAAGTAACAAGCTTTATAGCGGCGGTTCAAAAGAAAAAAAAATCATGTTTGCTTCGACTCCTACAGATTAACTTGGGGAAGAGTAAGCAGGCGCGGGACTTGATGCTGCAGGTTGCTGCAGAGAGGGAAGTGGATGTGTTATTTACTAGTGAGCAACCTTACTGTGGCAATACGTTGTATCGAGATACCACTGGAAGAGCGGGTATAATAATCCATAATAGGAAACTAAGTATTAATAAATATAAGAACACGAAGTATGGGTTTGTATGGGTTGAGGTGAATAATATGAGAATTTATAGCTGTTACTTTTCTCCAAACAATACACGAGAGAAATTTCAAAAAGACATCGACGAATTGGAGGCAAGTCTGAAAACAACGAAAGGAGAGGTTTTGATAGCAGGTGATTTCAATGGTAAATCGTCGGAATGGAGGGAGACGCGCTCTGACAGAAGAGGAGATATTATGTGAGTTTGTAGCAAGAAATGATCTTATCATCCTAAACTCTGCGAACGAGAACACTTTCCAACGGGGAGATACTTCATCTAAACTGGATTTGACAATAAGTACTTCCAGACTGACTAAGGGTATCACAGACTGGATGGTGTGGGATGAAGAAACCTAGAGTGACCACGGATACATAGGGTATACCGTAGTATCAGAGAGACCACAATATGGTAAGGCGAGATACAAAAGAGGGCCGTCTTGGAATACCAAAAAACTTAATGAGGATAAGGCAAAACGCTTTTTGGAAGAATCCAGGTTACTGGCAAGCATGGGTTCGACAAATAAAGCGGAAACATTCGAAGATGTAAAGACAACGGAAGAAATAGTGACAGCAGTGTGCGACACATCTGTGCCTAGAAGCAGTGGCCTCAGGAATAAACAACAAATGTACTGGTGGACCTCGGAAATAGCAGAAGCACGTAAGAGCTGCATCAAGGCTAGAAGAATGGCGACAAGAGCCAAGACTGACCTATGCCTTAGAGAGCAACATAAACCGCAACGTAAGCGACTTAAAAAAGAAATTAAAAAGAGCAAAAGGACAAGTTTGAAGGTACTTCTAAGGCAGATTGATAATGAACCTTGGGGTATGGCGTATAAGATAGTGACTAAGAAGTTTCGGATGAATCCCAAAATATCTTACCTGAATAACCCACAGTGGATGAAGGGTGCTATTAGAGAGCTTTCCCGAAAGAGATCGCTGGGTGAGGCAAAGACAGAATGATTTTATGTTTAACGATGTTGATTACTTTACGACAGGCTTGGACGGAACCCCACCAAAATTTTAAAATTAATGGTACAAGTATATCCAGAATGTCTTCTGGCAGTCTATAATAGATGGCTTAAGGATGGGAAATTTTACAAAAACTGGAAGAAACAAAAGCTGATACTCCTCTGGGAGGGCAAGAAACCGTTGGAACAGACATCGTCGTATGCCTTCTTGATACTGTAGGAAAGTTGCTGGAGAGGCTAATACTCTCAAGACTTGGGGAATATATAAGCTTTTCTCATAGACAATATGGATCTCAGAAAGCCTATTCGACGACGATTTTAGAAGTAGTTTGTATTGCAGGGGCAGCTAGAAATGGAACTGGGAGAAAGAAGGGATTCTGCGCACTTGTAGCAATTGATATTAGAAACGCCTCCAACTCAGCCGTGGAAAGATGCCATGGAAGCATTGGTTGACAGGGGGATCCCTGGATGTTTGTTAAGGATCATCGAGGACTACCTTCATGAAACAAAGATAATTTATATGGATTGCATCAAGATTGAAGAAACTATGACGTGTGGAGTTCTCCAAGGGTCCAGACTTGGCCCCTTTCTATGGAATGTACTGTATGATATATTGAGTATCAACATTCCAAGAAATTCGCAGATAATAGGATACGCGGATGATACACTAATAGTGTCACACGGATGATACACTAATAGTCATAGTAACGATATTGAGGTGCTTGAACTAAGAGTGAATGAAGCCTTCTATAGAGTTAAAAGATGGCTAGACAGACGACTTCTTCAAATAGCAGTAGGAAAAACTGAAGCTGTGTTAATTACGGATCGGAGGGGTTTTCGCTTTCCCGATATGCGACTGGGAGAAGAGAGAATAAACTGGAAGCGCCAAATAACATATTTAGGGGTTGAGATAGACTCAAATTTGGGACACACACAAGTGTGATGGCAGAAAAGGCAGCGAAGACAGAATCCACCGTAGCAAGAATACTACCCAATGTAGGTGGACCACGAGAAGCCAAGGGAAGATTGATATCTTGAGTAGTTCATTCACAACTGTTATATGCAGCACCAGTCTGGGCGAGTTCAATGGAGAAACAGATTATGAAAAATAAGTATGCTCAAGTGCAAAGACGAATGGCTCGGGCGGCTGCCGACCGTACGGTGTCTACTTGCGCAGTGCTAGTATTAGCCAGTGTCCCACCCATCGATCTGATAGCTATGGAAAGGAAAAGGACGTACTCCGCCGTAAAGGAAGCTCGACAAGTAAACAAACATCTCCCTCCCAGGGAAGTAAAGATAATTACGAGTAATGCTAGGAAACTACTTTTGGAAGGCTGGCAAAGAAGGTGGAATGTGGTCGCAAAAGGTAGATGGACACATCAGATAATTACTAACATCGAGAGATGGGTCGGTCGAAAGTATGGGGAGGTGAATTATTACGTACCCCAGACGTTTACGGGACACGGTGGCTTTGGTAAATACCTTTTCAATTACAAGATTAAAAAATGTCCGACATGTAGCTTATGTCGAGAAGATATTGACGATGCAGAACAAGCACTGTTTCAGTGCAAGGCATGGGATGCGGAAAGGGAGATTTGTAACGTTAAGCTTCAACAAGTGATAACTCCAGGAAAGATTGTGGGCATAATGTTGAGTGCGGAAGAGATGTGGACTTTAGTAGAGAACTACTTAGTTAATATCATGAAGAAAAAGGAGGGGAAGAGTTAAAGCACTAGCTTCCAGTCAACCTTCCACGCTAAGTAAAGTCTGGTGACGGTTTCCGCGTGGAAGAAACCACGGCTTAGGAGATGAAGGTTTAGGGTTTTATTCGGTAAACCAAGAACGGGAGTCCGGCAGTACTGGCTTCACCGGTCTCCGAAATGATTTCCCCCTTCTAAATAATAATAATAATAATAATAATAATAATAATAATAATAATAATAATAATAATAATAATAAACAATCTCTTCAAGTTTTAGAGGTTTCTAGAATACACTTCATGCTGACAGCCATTCTACTGTGCCAGTCTTTTAAAAAGAGGGCAAGCTTGTACCAGAAAGCTACAGACTTATAAATGTAACTAGGACCATTGAGAAAGTCATAATCAAAACCTCCATAAAGAAACACATAATAATACATCCATTCCCTCACAACAACATTGGTTTTGTCCCACTCAGATAAGCAACAACAAATTTGATTAGTTTGATGTGGGAACCAGACTTATAGATCTGAGCTGCAGGAAAGTTGATAAAAAAAACTGGTGCTGCAGAATGGCAAAGACTTTCTTGCACTAGTTTTCTCATCTCTTAAACTTAGGCTACATTTTTACTTTCCCGTATACGAACAGCCCTAGCAACATAAATTAACTGTGCCATCTCCGGCTCCGTTCAGATTTTCGACAGCTTGGGTAGCCCTTGTCATGAAACGTTGCAGCGGGAGCCTCACAAACAGCCGCAGGTAATCTCAAAGAGGCGAGAAGTGGCCTAAAATTACGTCGTAGAAAGTGGCGGAAGTCGCTAGTTCAGATGTGGAAATATTTCCAAATAAAAATATATAGAATAAAACATTTATGAACGTGAAAGTAAATATATTGAAATATATATAAAAATTTATATGTTTTACCATTGTTAACACAATTCTTTTTGAAGAAATTATGTTGATACAAGATAAAATAACACTCATTTTAGAGCACATACATTCTCACACACGTTTACTTTAAATATGATTGTTTATAAATAATCCAGGACCTTTATCAAATATCCTGTTTAGTCTACATTTATCGATTAGAAGACATAATTGCAAGTTTGCAATTGTTCATATGTTTATAAAATTGGCAAAAATTGCAAAATCGTGAATTTTTCGAATCGATAGACGACTTCTAAGGAAACATTTAAAACAAAAACAGCAAAACTCAAAGATCAAGTCCAAATACAGTATTTTAGCAACAAAATAAGTACATATTAGCAATAATTTTGCATCTCTTCTTAAAATTGTTATTTTGCAATATTCACCTCAAAGACAATTTGGGGACATTGCCCGGCAGGAATTGCACGGATTTCGAAATTGTTCACAAAATTGTTAATTGTTGCAAAATTATTAGTTCGCAGTTTAGTTACAAAAGAACTTAAAAATTTGGAAATTGTTTATAATTTTTTTTAATTGGGCAAAAAATATTGCCTTTAAGCGGTATGCTAAATTCGGCAATCCGGTTGGCGCTATCGTCTTTCGTTTTCGACAGACGTAATTGATTATAACAAATTAGCATCTCTGTCGTTCATAAATCTTTGGATAAATATGTCCCTTTTGTCTCATTGTGTCCATTTTCCCCCATTTCCATTTGCTCTTTGTCTCATTTTGTCCACTTGCCTCGTTTTGTCCCATCGTCTATCATGTCTCATTTTTCTAATTCCGTCCCATTTTGTCCCCTTTTCCCCCTTGCCCTCTTTGTCCCACTTGTCCCCCTCTGTCCTTCCATGCACTGCAATTGTTATTTATAAACAGTATTGCACATTGCATAGAAAATGCAACTCTCCCCATGTATTCTGAAAATTCCAGGATTGTGATTGGCCACCAGGTCATGGATTCTGAACTAGAATCCAAGGGGTGTGTAATGGATGTCATTGGCGATTAAATATACAACAGGAATACGTATATTATTAAATGGTCATAGAGAAAATAATTTACTGCATGTAGTAAAAAGAATTATCACCTGTTTGGTTGACAATATGATTTTTGTCCTGAAAAATCATTTTTTGGGGCCTACATAATATTGTGAAGGATGTAAAAGTACCAAGTATGTAAAAACATGTCAAACAACAGAAAAAATTGTTTGCCAGATTTTTATTGAGTTATGCATTTGCTCTATGAGTTATGAGCAAGCAAAGGTTTGCAATTAATACTTCTACTTTAAAAATATTTACTCATCCTGAATTCCCAATACAGGATTTCTGAGATGCAGAACGTAAATTATGTCAATTCACGACAAAGATTTGGTGAACACAGAAGTGCAGTTCTGCATTGCTTTAACCGAAAAAAAATTCCAGGATTATCATTGCAAACATTTACCTGAAAAGTTCTGTTTTAATATACACTTTTAAATACTGTATATTAAAATGTAACAAAAGATGTAATAAGAAGTAAAATATGTAAACATTCATAATTATACCACAATTATTCAACTTATGTATACACTAATCAAACTCAAAAATCTTTACAGAATAAAGGTATCTGTATCATGATTATAAGAATTTGTATCCTAGACAATAATACAGCAGTGGTAATACTAACAAGGAAGAATGGAAGGATAATTAAGATATCCAATTCAGCCATCAAGAGGAAAACTGGTAAGTGAATTTAGGCCTGGCATGTAAATAATTATCAACATACCATCTGAAAAACATAAATCTTATATAACTGTAAGATAAATTATATCACAACAATTAGAATCTATTTGAACTCATCCACTATTTCTATTAACAAATCTTAATTTATAAAAATGGATATGTTTGTGAATGTTTCTCTACAAACATTTAATAATATATGTATTCCTGCTGTATATTTAATTCACAAATGACATCGAGTACACACTGCATGACAACAATTTCAAAATCCTTGGTCTGTCAACCATTCACATTCCAAGAACTTTCAGAATCTATCAGCTAACTGGCAATCTCTTTCCAATTTGCACTTCTTTTAAACTGCGGTAGACAAATGCATCATTTTGCAGTTTTGTACCTAGACATTGGTACTCTTATTTCTCGTTACATTTCACTTTGATCATTCAACAGAAAATGAATCTTGAAGCCAGAGACAGTGAGAATGAAATTTGTACTTCAACTGAAATTCAGGAAATACTGAATTCAACAACTCTCCAATTATAAGAAAAATCAAGGAAGAATTATTAACAATTATTTATTACAACACTGCTTGATATAGGCAATTCTTATACTTGAATTTCAAATAAAACAAAATCTGTTGAAAATCTATTCTGAATATTTCAAGGTTATAGAGAAAGTATAGTCTTTGCACATATTGGCTCTGGTTTGTTGTGGACATCGATTTGTGAATAATAGCTATCATTGTGCGTTTGTTAAAGAACATACTATTCACAATAACTTTTGATCTGCTGGAGAAATTGCTCCCAAACTTGACATGAACACTTAAGTAGCCAGGAAGAAACCTAGGTTCACCATTCTAAAAAATATGGTTACACCCTAAATTGTTGCCCCACTGTTGCAGGCCAGGAGAACGGACAGATAATTGAGATAAATACAGGTACCAGACAACACTAACGCTTGCAGCCCAGAGCAAAGTTGTTCACCTTTCACCAAGGATGTCTGGGGTTCATTCCCAGACACTCATGTGAAATTTGTTCTAACAAAACAAATTTGCTTGCTTCACTGGGGCTAGTCCAATCCCTGTAAAGTGCCCTAAAATCTACCCTTATCCTAAGGCCTTCCCCAAAAACACTAGGTAATCAGCTAATAAAAAATACAAATAAAGAAGTATTAGAAAATAAAGTATTATTACTAATTTTAATTAAATATTTAATTGAACGAAATAAAAATTCCAACCTCTTCAATCTTAATAATTAACAAATTTTTCCACAAGATTTTGATCCTTGAAATTCTTTAGAAGATCAAAATTAATTGCTTTTCCAAAACCAGTTCCAGAATATGATACTCAAATATCTGGCCAATCTTTTTCACAGCAAGGTTAATTTACTGCCTACCTTTTTCTTTAAATATTGGATAGTCTAGGAGAACAGTTCACTTGTGATTCAATTGAAAAGAATAAACTGCAAAGTACACACCGCTCTGGATGCAAATGTGAACATGGCCCCACTGGCAAAGGTGAGGTAGTATCCGGGATAGAAGCCATGCCACAATGCAGACAGGGCATACGTCAGGACAGTCTTAAAGCGAGGCGCTCTCTCATACACACACATGCGCAACCAACGTGTTGTGCCCTTATTCCATTGTTCAATGCTGTCCCGTAAACTCAGGCCCAGCTGAGAAAAGAAAATGAACAAGTAGAATTAATAGTTATTACCACAAACTCTTTTAGGAGAGAAAGAAAAGGAATGCTAAAAACAGGAAGGGAAAACAATTATATACTACAAATAATGTGTGTTTTTGAGTGTATTTGTCCCACCACAACTTTTGAATCCCTTGATCCTGATGTGCTTTTAATCATTGTATTGCACCATCCAACAATAATTATAACAAAACTTTAGTTGTGTTTAGGCAAAAAACTAGTTGAAATTATCTAAATTTTATCCTCTTTCATTCCCTCCCCTCCCGTCTTTCATTCCCGTCCTAGAATTTATAATTAAAAAGAACTATTAGCAAAAATATAAAATCAAATTTCATTCCCTGAAATATTTTAAAACATACATTTGAATGTTTGGGATTACACAATAATTCAAACAGAGAAATGAACTTTCCATCTTATGTTTTAAAAATATTATATACCTTGGAAAATTCCTCCAAAATAAATGTCTGTATATACATCATGCAATTGTTCCAGTTCCCTTTACATTATTAATTCACAGTCAGAGAACATTGTTTTTATCCAAATTTTATTTTTATTTTTGTCCATTAATTTAAACTGTTCTCATCTCACCTCAAAACCAAGCACATCCACGTTGGAAATCAGGTCCCAGCGTGCGCTACCATCTTTGCGATAGCCATTAAAGCCCAGGCCCGAGGCATTGCAAATGGCATCAGCCAAGAGCCAGGCATGATAATACTTGAATCTGACTAGAGACGTGGCCACAATGAGATAAGACATCTTGCTTACCAAGGACTCTTCAGTCACAAAATCTTGCTCTGTAATGAATGTATGAAAAACTGGTGAACAGAATTTTATATAAACATCACACTATGTTTCATAATTTGATGCATTTATACAAATTATTTTGAATGTCCTTTTTGGGATGCTGTATTTGTCAATACTGAAAATTTATTAGATTGTTGCTAAGGACATAGAAAATAAAGGGTACCATATTTACCCGAATGTAAGACAGACCCACTATTTTGTAGAGGTCTCAAGAGAATTTTTCAATTAATTTTTACTGTTAAGTCAAACCAAAATTGCAAAAGGTCTAATAGACTTGAACATTGTCTTGTTCTCATTAAAATTTAATACTTATTGCTTGATCTATCACTATTTTCATGTTCTATAAAATTATCATATTCATGATTTTTTGTCATTACCCTCTTCATCTTCACATTTTTTATTGTTTTTACTTTTTTGTCTTATTTTTATACTAGGCTGTCCGGGTGGTGCCCCGCCCTGAGGAAGGTCGCAGAATGGCAACCTAAACACTGGCACCTTCGCTATGGATGCAGCATCACCCGGACAGCCTAGTAAATACTGACTCCGACCGCGGAAGCCTACATCTTCTAACCTTATAGACCCTGCAGAAAGTTCTGCGCATTGAATTTGCATGTTTACTCTTTCATTTCATACCACCTATGAACATTCCCTTCTATGTAACCATGTTTTCTTTCTGTTCCTCTCTTGTTCGTATTCTCTTATTCTTTAAAAGAATATACTTGACCATCATTTAATGGTTATGTGATTGAGTTGTGAATTGCAAACTCATGTAGATAGTATCTCTGACTCTCCGCTTTGCAGGCAAACTGGGAGAGAGCGGCAAATTTCGAAGCTTGAGAAGTTTTTGCTAAGAAAATATTTTTTTATTATTGTTTTCTGTGGTTGGATGTAGAAGGCGTACTTCTATCAATGTGATTTTTTTTCATTTCCATCTCTTGCAAAACACAGGATTGCATTCACGGGGGGTCAAACAGAGAGCCTGGGCAGCTGTGTTGCTCATCGTGAAACAAAATCTTTTGATAAGCGTGATATTTTCATTGTCTTCCCAGCTTAATGTTGTTACGTCAAAATTTCCGAATTTCATGATGTGGAAGGGCAATGTAAAATAAAATTCTAACAGACTAGAGTTAATATGCAATCACGATGACACCATATTTTTTGAATGAGATATTTAGGAAAAACCCCACGTTATTTTCTCGTAAATATGGTAATTAAACAAATGTACATTAACTTCAGGGCATACGGTCACCTAAATTTAAATACAAGCTTGAAAAAGAAACAAGCAAGAGAAAGAAGACAAAAGTTCCGCTCATATTCTGTTTTCTCCTGACTATTGCATGCATATTTGCTGAAATGCAAATACTATTAAGCACTACATGACAGCATTAAAAGAGCAGATGTTTTCAATCTGATTCTTAACCTGACTCACTTGAATTTAAGTAATTAATGATCCCATTATTTACATCAACACTTTAACCAGATGATTTCATATTTTGTAAAACAATGAAAAAAAAAAAAAAAAAAAGGTCTAGTTGCAAAAGTGTGATATAATATTTTTCCCTATCAGTTGATATTTGTTCAAAACACAGCCTTAAACATTGCATTAATGTTGCTCAAATACAAGAAATATATTTTTATAAAAATAAAATACTAGTTAACTAGCAGTCTAGGAATTTTGTTATTTTTCAAATAATTTATCAATCATTTTTGAAGTCTTTAATGACTTTATGCTAAAATTTATTTCTTTTAATGTGTTTCAATTTTTGCATGAAATGTGATTAGTTTGAACAAATAAATACTGCACATTTTTTATTGAAACTTTACAACAATAAATAATTCTACAAAATTCATCCCATATTCTTTCATGAAAGAAATTCTCAAGACTTTGTAGATCAAGAGCTTGCAGCTTGTAGACAGGAGCTTACCTTTCACACGAGTAATTGGGAACTTTGGTAACAAAACCATGAAGAGAAGAGCACACAGCATAGAAGAAACAAATTTCTTGAAAACAACAAGAGAAGGTGATGGTTCCAAAACAAAATTTTTGGAATTAGAATTGGAGTCCACACTCTGCAACACAATTATGAATGTAATTAATTAAAAAAATATTTCAAATACAATTTTGGCAAAGGAGAATGATATATTTTTTCAGTGAAGCGATAGTTACGAGCATAAAAAAATGGAATTTCTGTCACTGCAACAATGTTAAGGAAGAAATAATTGTCATACACCATTCATTTCACACTGTGATATTTGTTTCTCTTGCAATGTCCACATTCTCTAATATTTGTAAACAAGGCATTCTCAAACGTAAAATACCCAATTTTATTAATTTTCTCATGCAAAGAGGGTCGGAAGATAACTAACTTGTGGAATTTGCATGTCACAGAGATATTTTGAAGTGTGATAAACATGATTTTAAACAGAGTTTTATTACCAATAACTTACAGCCACATCTCGCACACATTATGACCTTAAAAAGGTCGGGTATATTGAAGCCTTATTTGTTAATCTAAAAATTCAATTTAAATTCAATAATTTGGCAACATTAAGCAATAGAGCAAGTATTTCTCAATGACAACTTAATATTTCAGTCACAAGTGATTCAGAAATCACTTCATTAACAGCTTCCAAATGGAAATAAAAGACATGCCAGCCCAGTACATTTCTCCAAAAATCCAATAAAAGCTAAAATCAGTTTACACATCACAAATAAATCTTTGGTTTGAAATTACACAGTATTTTTACATTTCTTTGCACAATCAATAAATTGAAACACATAATTTGAAATTAGAAGCAATGTAAATCTCTTAGATCTCAAATAAAAGAATGAAATAAGATGTTTAAATGAAGACTTTCAAGAATATTAGTTTCACTCACAGTGGATGGAGGAGCGTGCTTTAAGAAGTTGTGCCCATCAATAAAGTCTATGTAATCTCTGTAGAAGAGAACAGGACCACACATGAGGGCCTGGAAATGGAACATGTAACTGAAATACTCCAGAGCTGTGGGCATTTTTCTGAAAATAGGAAACAAATATCACTTCATCAATTGGAATAAAAATTGCAATAAAAAGAAACAATAATCAAAGATGTGCAATTATATAAGATGTATAAGAATGTGTCCATCATGTTTTCTAATGGAGTGTAGGTTCAAATGATGATAAACTAAAAATTAAATTAGTTGACTCAATTGCTATCTTATTTCAAAACCAAATTGATGCATAAATTTTTATTGATGTAAAATGTATGTATTTGATGCAAAATTCGTGTTGCATTATACTCTATGAATAGATAGCAATTGAGAAAGAATGAATCAAAATATGGATATAGTGGTACTACCATTATTCAAATTAAACAAGGTTTGGGCCAATATGAATAAGCAGAAATTTGGATGAAGGCAGAAATCAAATAAAAGAGATATCAAATACAGGAAAAAATGTAACTTTAATTCACAAAAATAAGTTTAAAGAAAAGGTATGAAAAGTCAAAATTTTGTTTACAAAAATGAACACAATCTAAATTTACTAGTACTGCACTTACTAAATATAATAGTTTTTATGATGTTAGTCTAAAAATTGTAATTTTTACATTTTTCAAAAAACCGGTTTTTGATAAAAAACATTATGAACCTTTTTTTTTGACAATACATTAGCAAGAGCACAAAATCATGCATTCAAACAACAAGTAACTGTCTACACCTACATATAATTTCATAAATTCTCTTTTACCCAAAATCATTTTTAAGATGATTCGAGATTAGTGAATTTGGAATTCTGCTGTATAAACAATGTGAATAGGGTAGCATAATGCTCATTTACAAGGCTGAGATCAGCAATAAGTTTGTTTTTCCTGAGAAATTTGAAATTCTATAATTACTATGATAAGAAACTCATTAGACTGAACGAAACAATTGGTTCAAGTTCTGATAAAACAGAAATGTTTGAAAAAGAGGTTCGAAGTAAAGTTAGAACACATGATTCTTTACTGTGTGATAGTAATATTGACAATTGAGAAAAAACTTTGAAATAATGAAAAATAATCCTGAACAAATCACTAATTTTATTGTGATGCAGATCTAGTGCACAAAATTACATGGACAACAAAATAAAAAATATTGATAATCAAGCTGCATTTTAAGAACTCACTGAAAAAAATGTAAATTTCTTAGGTGGAACAGTACTTACTTGATCATATGATATTTCTGGTTAGCTGTCAATTCCTCTTCTTGTCGAGTTAGTCCATCATGGAGACTGAACGCTAAACTTGTAACCTTTTGAGTAATCACCATGAGAGGTCCTGCATAATTTAAGCATATTAACAAATCAACAGATAAACATAAGGGAGGAAATTCATTACATAAACTCTCCAAATTTAAAAGTGCCAATTAAAATTTTAAATAAATAAAAGTGCAATTTAAAAATCTGTGCTGTAACTATGCAATATCTTTTCCAATTCCAATAATTTTATTTAAACTTTTTCTATTACACTAAAACTCACCAGTAATATCTAAGGTATAAGACCCATAATCATACATTTGACGGTGGAGGTGGATGCAAGACAAATATATTAGAGCTACTGCAAGGACAGTTCTGGAAGGGAAAAACGAAGACAAAAGCATAACAAACATAACAAAGCAGAATTTTGAAATGTTAATATATAAGAATTTCTAATACCTTTGCATGACATGGGGGCTTTGGGTTCGCATGACAATGTAGCATAAAGCTGGAAGTCCAGCAAGATGAACTGCTTGCCTGTACAAAGCAAAGTATAAATTCAAATATTACTACAAAAAATCAATGTATAAAAGGCAAGAACACAAAAGTAAAATAAAACTGGAAGGTAGATATACAACTTTCATGTTAGATGAAAATGAATAATATTAAATAAAAAATAAAACATCATTTTTTAAATATTAATTATTAAGGATTATTTCTTTATCCCATTCTGATTCCTTAGATAATTTGTGATGAAATTAAATTACTTACACACTCTTAATGCCCATTTTGAAACAATTGAAATTTTCAATAACTCCACTAGACATTTAATATTATTTTGACTTACATTCCAAAGCAGAAGTATCCAAAAGCAAGACCAAGCACAAGTCCGAATGCATGACGAGTTGCAGCACTAGTTTTAGATGGATGGAAAACACTTCTAAACAATGGCGCTAAACCCAAAGCCAGGAACTGACTTATTACAAAATTCACCTAAAACAAGACGACATTCCTTTAATATAATTTACGTTACTTCAAATCGTTAGGATTAATGTACAGTAAAACTGTCATATTTGCATTGCATAAAAAGTCCGCTACAGGAGATAATTTATAATACAATACTTCTTTTCTCTACAGTGGGTTCTACAACCCACAAACGCAGAATTCTTTGTAATGAAGCAAGAAAATGCTGAGGTTTATAATGTGTACAAATAACCCGCCAAAAAATGCAGCGATTAGGTAGTACCCAGGATTGGTCAGCTCCCATGAATCGATGACATACGTAATACACTTTGTGATCGATTTAATAAAATACAGCGGCAGGACGACGCATGGACAAGGGATTCATTATCATTTTCATGAATGAGAAACATTCGTCGAATGATTGTCACTTGTTGATTCTGTAACTAGCACTCTGAAAGGGTCATAAAAACAAGGAATCGCCTGTAGGTGAAAAGTAAATGCAGCAAAAGAAGCACTTCAATACGCCAGACTGATGCATCGGCGTCGGAAACAATACAACTGTTATTGCCCAGATTCAGCTCAGTGCACCACACTGTCTCCAGATTTCACTAACCTGATCCACGGGTATTCCCGACATGTCGGAAACCCATGAAAACAGGCGGCTTCCATCGTAGTAAACATAATCCACCGCCTCCGCCATCGCGCACTCGCTGGAGGCACTCTCCTGTACCCGACTGTCCTGTCAGACACGGATGGTGGCCGCGGCTCGGCTCGGCTCGGCTCAGCGCAGCGCGGCGCGGCACGGCGCGGCGTGGTGGTGGCGGAGGGGGGGGGTCAGGAGTGGGGCGCGAAGGGCGGGGTTACGACTGCCACCTCTTCTCCTCAGGCGATCACCAGAGAATTCTTATTGTTACATAATGACACAATGGGTGACCTGATGGGTGACGAGGATAACAGAGTTAAGCCTTTAGGGGCGCCGTGTACTAAGTCGGATGAAACATGACTCACTGCATCCGCTGGGGATCACGAAAGGGCAGCCGTGGAGAGCACGTGTGGCTAAAACGGTAGGTGAGAAAAGGCGAACGTCACGCGCGTGTCATGCAGTCCAGCGGCGCTGACCCAGAGAGTTAAAGAAGCGCGATCACCTTGCTGGAACAACGGTGTTCTGTCAGAGCAGCACCGTTAAAAGTGTGTTCAACGGTCATTGTCCGTCGACATAATATCCTGATGGATTCTAGATTTCCTTCTTCCTCTACGCCCATTTAATAGCTATCTATCCCTCATCGCTCCAGTTTTCAGTCCGTTGTTGTTGTTATTGTTATTGCTGTTGTCGTAGTCGAATTGTTTTTGCGGGATGAAATACGGACTTTATGATTCCTAGCGTTCTGATCTTATTTCTTCGGCTTCATGTGCTTATGTTTGGAATTTGTATATGCAGAATTATATTTATACAACCAGACATTTTATCAAGTCATCATCACATTCAATAATAAATGAAAGAAAGGACTTTTCGAATTCTGAATCAAGAAATATATTTCGCTTGAATAAGGTATTGAAGAAAATCAATATTTTTTAGTGAAGCCGGATTTACTTTTGTAAACTTTTTGTCTCGCTTTTGTGCTGAAGCATAGGGGTTAATTTTTGCTCCGTAACTGGACAAAACCGTGCAACGCAATGTGGTCCAGAGACTTAAAATATACTTCATTGGCCTTCGGAACAACTACACCGATAGGAAACGTGCTAAAGAGCTTGTCAGCCAGCTTATGAAAGAATTAGATAAGGTAGACCTAAGGTACGAAGGTTTTTATGTGTTTAGTTTCAAAATACATTTTTATAATATAATTCGTCGGTTACTGATAATTATCAAACCATATAGTTCAAAAACTAATGGTGCTATAACAGTACATATTTTCTAGGATAATTGGTAACGGTTACCTAATATTTTATATGCAGTTTCTGTCCTAATGACACTTCAGTCATCACATGATATACTCAAACAATACGACTGAAAATTACTAGAAAAATGTTAATAATATTTTCAAAAAAGTTTTATTTAAGAACTAATGTCGTGGAATAAATTTCATTAAGAAGGAAGTATCTAGGTTCAGTATTAAAGGTGTAGGACTGATTCGAAACATAATTGGACTTTGTCGTTATATAATTCAAAATTACAAAAAATGTTACTAATAGTTTGAAAATGTCACTAATTTTGACATGAAAGTAGTTAAATATCTAATGTTGAGAAAAATAATGCTTTTAAAAATCGCTTATATTCAATATTGAAGCAACCGGACAGTGGTGAAAAAACTTAACTTTTGTAATTTAGGAAATTCCGGAGATTTTAATAAATATCAAACAGATATCATTAAACAAAGTGTACTCTATTAGAGTATACAATTTAAAAAAAATTAAAATAACTTAGGGACTTCATGAAAAGTACCTCCAACATTTGAAAGATGTTTCAAATTCAAGGGTCCGTGACATCAGATATATTAATCGGGAAATATGAATTTTGGGGAAAATTCCGTGTTCGGCTTGTTCTTCTTCTAGTGTTAGTGCTAGTGTTCTTCAGAGTAGGGTGGACAGTCGTTAAAAAAATTGGTGTCTTGGTTCCCAAAATCATGTATTTTATGTCCAAATCTCGACACCATTTTTTATAGCAATACATACTACAGTGTTTACTACATATAACCCAAATTTTATCAAATTAAAATTGATTTAAAACGAAAACCAAATAAAAAACACACCCTGGATTGTGTATTTTTTAAAAACATTCTCCGGTAATTTTACTTTGATCCTGTGCATACGTGTACATTGCAACAGTGTGTATATGGTATTTGCGACCGTTTGCGTCCATGCGTTTTTCTTGATTTTAATTTCCGTCCTAAGGTACTTCATGCGAAGAACGGTCTTCACTTTATAATATTGGCTTGTTTCATGCAATAGCTTGTTTCATGCAATAGTTGGCAATGTTTTTAAGAGCAGTAAATGAATTGAAAAGAAGAATGATCATTATTGCATTGAAGCTGTATATTCTGTGGTGATAAAAAAGGGAATAACTGCAATTTTTGTCAAAATCGGAATAATACTAAATTTGGTATCTTTGATATTTATACTTTCATCAGACAAGATAATAAATATAGTAATCTGTAATATTTGAATATACGAGCAATGTTAAATTATCAAATAAATGGTTAAAATAAGGAAAAAGGGAATAACTGCAAAACTTTGAGGAAAAGTGCATTGCATTAAAATCAATACTAAAAGTAATGAACATTAATTCTGTTTAATTTTATTAATTATTCTAAATATTTTAACACTTTTAATCATTTTTTAGTTAATTTAAACAGAAATTAAACAATAAATTAAATAATTTTATAATAAATAACAAATATTACAAATTTTAATATAATACATTCAATCATTAATATTTACTTAAATGCATCTTCGTTGTAATTTTGCTTCTGTTTTTTTTTTACTTGACTTTTGATCTTTCAGATCTGCGCACATTTTTGTGCCTTTCAATGTCAGCTTGTTCAATAGCTTCTGCTTGAATGCTCGAATTTTGAGTGTCTGCCTTGTTTAGAAAATGTTTACGCTTTCTTCGCGAAATGTGTGCAGTTACATTTTCTACGGTGCTAGAAGAATTAATTTCAGCGTCAACTAAATTTGCATCTACGATGTCTAGATTAACTATGCACTAATGATTAATTTTAACTATGCACTCCTATTTTTTCTAATAGATGGCGCTACCATGAATGTCAAAATTGATCTGTCAAAAATTGTACTCACCTTTGCCCCATTAAATCTCGAAATAAACTGCTACGATTTGAAAAATAAATCGGAGTACTCTGTTTATTTTTCAATTTGGAGCAGTATTTTTCGTGCTTTAATGGAGCAAACATTCTGACAGGATGGGCGCTCCAGGGCTCTTAACGTAACGTAATATGTTAATTTTATTAATATATTAATTTATTTAATTATATATTATTGTTATTATTTATTTTCATATTACATTATTATTAAATTACGATTGTGTATAAAATAATTATTTCAAAAAAGGAAAAAATGTTTTAAATCATTTTAACTGAAAAGTTTAACTACAATTTATTTAATAATATATATATATATATATATATATATATATATATATATATATATATTGTCACTCAATAAAATTAAAATAAAGATAAAATAAAGGAAAAGAATGATAAATAAAAATTAATGAAAAAAGGAATAACTGCAAATATTTAGGAAATAGGGAATAGTGAAAAATTAACATTTAATTACATTTATTATTATTATAAAATGTTTATTTGAAGTCCTGAAACTATATTTTGTTTATACGAAAGTGTTGAGAAAAAACCTACGGTCAACTTACTTAAATCTGGAAAAATTGAATTTATGACTTTAAATGCATTTTTCTCGAAATTATGAAAATTGCAGTTATTCCTTTTTTCCTTATCGCCACAGAATTTATCTTGCACAATTATTATAACTTAAAGAGTTCGTTAATGGTTACTCGAGAAAGTAGAAAGAAAAATATTTTAGAATTTTGGGGGAAATAATATTTATCAGAGATTCGTAATAGAACTGAATTGAATTGTTGAAATCGCTGCACCAGAATGTTGCACAAATAATGATGGTGAAACATACTGAAACGTTTTTGTAAATAGTGAAAAATCAGAAGAGGTAAAAATATTCGACTGATTAAAATATTGTTCACAGTTTTTATTAAGTTGGCCTACACATCCCTCCGTAAAAGCAAAAGAAATTACACATCTAAATGGACCGGTATACATGCTTGACGGCATAAAATTTTAGTTTATACAGCAGATATGATCGACCAGTGGCCGTCCAGAATAGCCAAGGTGGCTACAGGTGTGCCGAATCAGCGCCTCGGTCTGAAGGATCGCGGGTTCGAGTCTCGCAGAAGGTATGGTTGTTTGTCCCTGGTCTTTCATACTCGTGTACTGTCTCGGAAGGCCTTGTGATCTACTGACCACAGGCCGCGAGGCCCGCTTGTGTGTCTTGAGTAACCTTAATGTGTCCTCATGGGGGACATAATGGGTACTCGGGGTGGATAGTCGAAAGCGACATCCCCTGAAGCTAAAAAAAGCTTTAGGAAGAAAAAAAAGGGGGGGGATCAAAAGTGGTAATTCTCTTTGAAGAGGCACACGTGGTGAGACAATGGTATGCTATTAGTGGGCAGAGAAAGTCTTCGAATGTAAAAACAAATGACACAAATTCTATAAGGGATGATGGCTACCATTTTCAAATTCAAAAGCGATTAGGGAACGAGTGTCTAGCGTATGGAAGCACCCGGCCTGTTGCCTCATATTTCAATAATATGATATATTTACCACCATTTTAGTCATATGTGATATTTAACGAAAACAATAAAAGGAAGAGAACACCTATCTGGGTTATCGAATTCCAAGACATTCTGCATGAAAAGTAAATAACACGAGAGATAACAGAAGGTTTTCTTTAGTATCTTCTGGAATAAACTTACCAAAAAAATAATCGCATTCACAAGGAAGAAGCTTACAAGAATGCTACTGGATAGAAATATCATTTTTAAATAAGTTGATTAATGTCGAAATTAAAATAAGTTGATTAATTAATTGAAAATGTTTCAAGCTTGGCCGTGCAAATGGCGTCAACAAGGACAAGCCTGTTCGTTGTACTCCCCTCCCCCCTCACTCTTTCACCCCTCTCTCTTACAGTTGGCATTAGTCTAGTACGAGAGATCATTATCGTTCAGTCCGTACGTTGATTACGGAAGGGTTCAGTCATCCACTTGGAT